CGGGCTGGTCAGTTGGGCCTGGGTACAGAATAGCCTCCATTCTTCTTCCCTTGGTGTGGTAATTGCTAGTACCAGAGACCCCGTCTCCTCTGGACTTGGGTTCAATCAGAGGCTAGTGTATCCAGTGGTCTCAAAAGTTATCTGAGCCCCAAGCTTGGAGAGTATGTCTCAGCCCAGAAGAGGGATGGGGCAATCAGGCAGATAAAGGAATTCATGTCGGACCTTGTGGCCCCCAAGTTCGCACTGACGAGCCTGGCAAAAGGGCTGCTGTATCGTCCAAGTCCCGGTGGCCCCAAGGATGGTCGCAGTCCTTTTGCTGAAAGGGGCCACTGGGGAGGTGACAATAGAGTGCTCGGCCCCAGTATCAACCATAAAAGTCACTTGTTGGTCCCCTACTTTCATTCTGACCGTGGGCTCATGGGGGCCAAGGAGGAAAGAGCCCGGTTCCCCTCAGTCTGAGTCTGTTCCCGCAAGGCCTATGAGGTCCTCCTCTCGGGGTTCTTCCTTGTAGCGGCTGGGCTTCTGAGCCTTTCCCTGGTTGGGACATTTGTTTTTCCAATGCCCTTTCTCCTTACAGTAGGCACATTGATCCCTTGCCAAGGGGGTTCTGGGTTCCCCCCTTTTGGTGGTTGGGGTCTCCCCATCTTGGTGTCATCCTTTTCTTTCAGGGCGGTGGCCAGGAGGCTGACTTTCTTTTTCATCTTTTTATCGGCTCCCCATTCGGCTGTGACCTCCCTGTTCATGTAGACCTTATTGGCAATGTCTATTAGTTGGGTGATGTTCATCCTGGTGAAACCCTCTAGTTTCTGAAGTTTTCTTCTAATGTCTGGGATGGCCTGAGCCACGAAGGAGGTGTTTACCATCTGTTGGCTTTCCTGTGCCTCAGGGTCAAATGGAGTGTATATCCTGTAGACTTTACATAATCTCTCGTAGTAGTCCCCGGGGGGCTCCCCTGATTGTTGAGTGACCGAGGATACTTTAGTCATGTTCATGGGTTTCTTAGCTCCTGCCTGGATTCCCTGGAGAAGGGCCTCCTGGTATCGGCAGATGTGGGCCTGTCCCTCATCCGTGGTAAAGTCCCATGCTGGGTGCTCCTCGGGTGTGGCCGTATTAGCCCAGGCAGCAGGGTCGATGACTCCCGCTGGTGCATGCTCTTCTAGGTATTGCTGTGCTCCTGTCATTATTCTCCTCCTCTCTTGTGTGTTAAACAGGGTGTGGAGTAACTGTTGGCAATCTTCCCAGGTTGGCCGATGAGTCTGGAAGAGGGATTCCATGAGGTCTACCACGGCCTGTGGTTTTTCAGAGTAGGATGGAGTGTTATGTTTCCAGTTGAGGAGGTCGGTGGTGGAGAAGGGCTGATAATAACATCATAGAACGGCCAGGTTGGACCGTCCCATCTTCGTCGTGCCTCTTGGGTTCCCGTGTCTCTCATACTGGCACTTGGAGGGCACTTGAGCCTGGCCTGGGGCGCAACCTGGCTGCTGGTCCTGGAGAAAGTGGATCCTCTGGGCCTGGGGGCGCCGGTGAAACCAATGGTGGTGGAGTGCCTGGAGCTGAAGGGCCAGGTGTAGATGGTCTTGGGGGTGCGTACAGTGGGGGCAGGATCGGTTCGTCCTCAGGATCTCCTGCTAGGACTTGTGGAGACTGGGGCTTTTGCTGATCTTCTTTAGGTCGCTTTGATGAGGCGATTAAGACCCTGGCTTGTCCCCGCCTATTGCAAGTGAATCACACCCAGCGGGGAAGGGTCTGGGCATTTCCTAGCCAGGAGTCAATGTACGGAAACCCGGTCAGGGTGTCCTGGTTCTCCTGTTACAACTTGCCATACTCGATGAATCATTGGGACATCCAATGTCCCTTCTGAAGGACACCCGACATCAAGGTGGGCCATTCCAATTCACATAGGGTTCTCAACTTGCCGGGGTTCATCCTGACTCCATAGTCTCCTGAAAACCCCTTCTTGAAATTTTTGACCATGGTCTCTAGAACCATAGGTTTACTCTGCCCTGACCCCATGGTGATGTCCCCGTGTGCGGTGGCGCAGAGACAGACAAAGTGGGGGGAGGGGGGGTCTCCTGAGGTGAGGAGACCAATCAGATGCCCATCTGGCCGTGTCCCAAAGGAGCTTAGGTGAGGCTTAGCTGTAGCGGTCTCAGTGTTGTGACTTACGATTGGAAATTATTCCGATGCCGCCAGACTGTATGCCATTCACCACAGAATCGCAGATGGACCCACTCAGACTCTGTAGGCTTCTGGGGACCTTAAGGGTGCCCACCCGTAGAGTCACAGAATCAGTCCGCTTGAGCAAGCCAGGTCGGACTGCACATTCACTCACACATTCACTCCAGAAGTTATTACGTTCCCTCCCTGGGAATCCCTACCTGTGAGACCTCTAAGAGGTCTCTGGGAGGTGATCAGGCTCCCCTTCCACCCCAGTGGGGGTGGGCCTGTCTGCGTCCTAGGACCCCAGGCCTTACCGGAATCTGAAGTCGGGACCAGGTCCTCACCTGCCAAGTCTCCTCGAGTCTGGCGGGAACAGCGGAGCACGGCCGGCCCGAGGTGACCGGGGCGGGAGACTGCTGAAAATTAGGCAGTCCCTCGTTCCGTCACCACCCCGCTGTTGCCCCCAAAACGGTGGCAACAATGGGCCAGCGCGGCTGGGTTTCCCAGTCAGGGAACCAAATGTTACGGAACCTGGACTGGATGGCCCGACAGAAGAACTAGCAGCAGTCGGAGATCTTGGAGGATAGGAAGTTAATTTAATGCCAGTGGGCTCAGAGGAGAGTGGTCTCCAAAGGTCTGAGGCCCCAGCACAAACAAAGGGGATAACTTATACACTTTTACTTCCGTATATGTGGCACTCTCCGGGGGCGGCAGGCGGGGCAGGAGGGAAAACCCGGAACGGCCCTGGGGCTGGGACTGGGATTCCTCGCTGGCTTGGTTGGCCACCTTAGAACACAGATTTCCCTTATCACCAGGTCCCTGAGATCATGACCTGAGCTGAAGGCAGACACTTAACCGACTGAGCCACCCAGGTGCCCCCAGGCTGCATCTCTTAACAGAAGGTTAAGGTCAAGGGTCCTCTCTCTGGAGGGAACATAGGGGGTGGGCAGGAGACAGGGCCCCAGGTTTTGTGATGGCAGCAGTGGCTTCCAAGGAGAAGGACCAAGATGGTGTGGGGGAGAGAAAAGCTGGACTCCATTCACGCTGGTGACATGACCTCAAGTAAGACCTCTAATTGCTCTGAGCCTGACTGCCTGTTTTCTAGGATTGGCAGGAGAACACAAGCTGGTGATGTGTGTAGAAGCATCCTGCAAAGGTGGACAAAATGCAAAGGTAAGAGACACCTACTGGTTACTGGGAGGTAGGAAAGGTTACAACAGGGACTCTCAGTGGATGGTGACCAACGAAACTGGGAAGATCAGTAAGAAACTTCTTTGGGATATTTAGCAGTGCAGTACACAGTTTGAGAAAAGGAACCTTTTCTCAAAAGCAAAAAGGTTTGGAGTAGGGAGGTGGGTGAAGACGCAGGGGTCTGTTGACTGGAGCAGCTCAGAAGATCATGCAGATGGATGGAGAAGGGGGTCTGCCGTCCAGCAGACAGGAGAGGCCACAACCACAGTGTGACCAAAACCCCACCTCCCACAACCCAAAACCCCACTTCCCACAACCCCCATTCAACTCCGGCCACGGGGAGGCCACGCTCCCAGTCACTGCTGTTCTGACTTGCCTGTCACCTCCCTTCCCTTTCAGTTGCTGGATTATTGCTCTTAACATGGGCCCATATTGCCCATAAAAAAATAAAAGTCAGATAGAAAAGCCTTGCTATTAGCTTCATTTCACCAACAGCCCAAATACAAAGGACATCCAGAGATCGGCAATTTCTGATGAATGCTTAAAGACCAAAATCGATCTGAGAATGATAGTAAATGGCGGAGTGCTAGAAAGACAAAGTGAACTCATACAGGAGCTGACTGTCTAGTGGGGAAGACTGATGCTCTGTTCATCCAATACATGTTTATGGGGCATCCAGGCACATTCAGATATGCCCTAGAGGAGCTTATTATGGAAAACATATAAACAGGCAACTATAATCAAGGGTGGAAATACCATGATGGTGACGAGGGAAGGTTCACAGAGAAGGAGCCTTGGCAGAAGAACGACCGGGGGTGGGGCATCATGTCAAGCTCATTACGATACATGTCAGTGAGAAGGAGATAGTATTACGGGGGTTCCAAAGCAGGAAAAGTCACTATCGGCCAGGAGGGAATAAAAAGGCTGGATTTCCAGGACAGCTGGGTGGCTCAGTCAGTGAAGCCTCCAACTCTTGATTTCGGCTCAAGTCATAGTCTTGAGTGAGGGACAGGCAAGGCCAGGGAGGGACAGACAGGTAGAGGGCCATGTAACCAGGCTCACAGAAATCCCAGATGTGGAGAAATGTTATAGACAAGATATTAACCAGAGAGAAGGGAACATTAACAAATCTGCCTTGTTTGTTCTAAATATAGACGAGATATTTTCCTAATATTTACAAATCTACCTTGTTTGTCTTAAATGTTTTAGACAAAATATTTACCAAGTTCCCTTGTCAGTCTTCTATAAAAGACCCACCATAAAAGTCCTCAGTGGCAACCCGTTCGGGACCCCTCTCACTCTAGAGAGCTCCTTTCCTTTCCTTTCTGTTCTCACCTTCACTTAATCAACTTTCACTTCACTTCACCCTTTTGCCTGTGAGACAAGAACCCTGCAACAGTCTCAGGGTCATGAGATGGAGCCGAGCCCTGGGTCTGGCTCCGCACTCAGCGGGGAGTCATCCTACTTCTGCCCCCCACCCCTCACACTCTCTAAATAAATCTTTAAAAAAACAAATATATAAAAGGCTTGATTTCCAGGGAAGTAAAGACCTTCAGGGATCAACAGGAACCTGGCCAGGCAGAGAGGAGGGGAAAAGAGTACATACAGGACTGGGCATGTTTGAGGAATGCCAGGAACGGTAATCTCACCTCAAACACTGGCTTCCCTTTGAAGAAATTTTAGTAGGTACAAATTTACTTCCGTTTACCTTTTCTTCAACTTCAAGAACTGCAGTTTCAGTACTTCAGCCAACTGATTTCCAGTAAAGGTGACTTGAGTTACTCCTGTTGAGAAATCAGAATAAGAGGTGTAATAGGTTTTGGGGAACTACCCCTCCCCAGACCCCTTTTTTGGGGACACTCCCCCCAGTCCATGCTGAGCGGGCAGTCCCATGGCTTCCCTCCCCAAACTGGTTAGCTTGGAGATGGACAGTGCCTCCCTCCGAACCTCCCTCATTTGAGGATTAAGACGGGCAAACTTAGGGAAGCAGTGGTGGGCCCTTATTCAGAGAAAGACACACACATGCACACAGAGGAGGTGAGCAGGACCATGCACTGTACAGCCCCTGAATTAAGGGGCCTTCCCGCTCCACTTCCCAGTAGACTGGTCAAGCTTTGCTCCCTGCATTCCTGAGATTCCTACAACAAACCCTCTGCTAAGTGAGCTGGTCTGAGAGCACTGTGGTTCCTTGCAACCAAGAGTCACTGACTTAATAAGAGATCCAGGGTTGGGACTAGAAAAGAGCAGAAGTAGAGGGTGAAGAAAGAGAGGCTTCCGGAACAAAGCCTTGGGAAAAATGAAAGAAGATGGGAGAAAGTGACCCGGGGCTCTCAACGACTGTCCCATAACATCTGAGAGACAAGGATAGGAGGATGTGTAAGACCCAGAGGGTAGACCCAACAGGTAATTCCTAAAATCCCAACAGTATTAGACATTAAGATGGAGGCCCAGATATTGGAGGGAAGGGGCTCTTCACACGGGCATTATCCATAACAAAACAAAGCAAATAAGAATTTCATTGAAAATACAAAGGTAGGAGACTCTGAAAAGTATCTATAGCAAACAGGGAATAATTAACTATATACTGCCCATCTCCAGTAAAATAAGAAGTGTAATAATTTGAAGATTGATTTACTGTAGGGTTTTTTTTTCTGTCTAAAACAATAAACATTTTATTTATTCATGGTTTGGTGGGTCAACAATTAGCGCTGGGCTCAGCCAGGTGGTTTTTCTCTGGTCTTGCCTGGTTGACATATGTGGCTACAGTCATCTGGTGGCTCATCTTGGGCTGGGTGGTAGACCAGATGACTTAGCTGACATACTAGTGACTGACAAGGCTATTTATGCTGCTTTTAGGGTCTATTTTAGTAAATATACACTTTTTTTTTTCCTGAGAGCTTCAGAGATGTATGCCTACCATCCTCTTGCCATATTTTTCCATTGGTTCTTGAGTTGGTCAACCATGAACTCACCCACTGTAGGGCTTCACGGAACTAACCTCTTCAATCCCCCCCTACTAGGGAGCCATGATTTTGGTGAAGTTCAGAGATAAAGGTGTGTGAAAGGGAGGGGCAAGAGGCAGGGATGGAAAGGGAAGGTTCTTCAGGAGCCCTGAATGCCGAATGAAGCTGGATGGGCTTTATTCCAGCAGCATAAGAGTCAAGATGATTGTCATCGAATCCCATATCCTCTAAGAGATAATTACCACTCAGAAAATGTAGAAAGTTAAAATTGGGCTGCAGAGGGAAAGTATGACCCAAACCACAGAGACCGAAGCAGTCAGCTGGAAATGAAGTCAAGAGCAAGCCAGGACCTTCAGCCTTAACAGGATCCCTTGCCTGCTGCTGTTGGCTATCAGGCTTTACAAGATTCCCCGGCTTCTGGGCCTTCTAAGCAGCCCTGTGCTCCACGGGCTTTCACTCAGCAGGTCACAGAATAGCCCCAGGGACACCAGCTGACCTGCAGGACAGGCTGAAGGGCAGCGCTCCAGTCTGCTCACTCTAGGCCTGGTCCCCAAGAGGCTGGTACCACCTCCTGTCTCTCCACTCTGAGCAGCAGAGGCACCTGCTCTAATGTCAGTCCTACTGCCTCCGCTCTGGGCCTCGGTCTCCTCATCCATAAAATAAGGGAGACTAGACCACTGGTACTCAAAGGTGGTCATCCACCCAATTCGTCACTGCTGGTCACAACAAGATAAGCACAGAAATTAAGAGAAACGGAGAAGCTGTTATAGCACAAAGGATTGCCACACAGCCCAGCACACACGCGATCAGCAGAACGGTCTTGTCCAATGAAGCATATGTGAGTCTCCTGTAGCTGCCATAACAAATTATCACAAGCTACATGGCACAAAACAACACAAATCTATTCTCTCACAGTTCTCGGGTCCAGAAGCCTGAAATCATAGTGTAGGCAGGGGCCATGATCCCTGCAGAGGCTCTGGAGAAGGTGCGCCTTGCCTTTTCCAGCTATCGGCACTCCTTGGCTTGTGGCCACATCTCTCCTCCACTTCACTGCCTTCTCTGTGCATGTGACATCTCCCTCTTCCTCTCTAAGGACACTTGTGATGGCACTGAAGGCTCACCTGGATAATCCAAGATGATCTCACATCAAAATCCTTATCTTAATCACATCTAAAAGACCCTTTCTCTAAATAAGGTAACATTATTGGGACACGTCTTTGGGGCAACCATTTAGCCCATGATAACTGATACGGATATTGCCCAATTTTTGTGTGACCAGTTGTACCTGGTATGCACTGTACATCCATATCAGAGCACCACTGGGGGGAAAAGGACCACTACCCCGTCTTTCACGCAGCTAGGACCCCTGCTTTACCTCTGCAGCCCTGGAGCCTGGGCTGGACAAGATCAGATTGCAATGGGCACCCCCCAGGAAAGGAAAGGTTAACAGGTGGTAGGGGTACAAAGAACAGGTGCAGACTTTCCCTCAGCCTGTCCCAAGCTGGTCTCCCACCTTCTTTGGCAAGCAATGCAGGCGCCGCCCCCACCCACCCCATCCTTCTATCCCTCAAGTAGCCTTGGTTGTAAAGTAGTTAAATTGATCTGTTTTCTGTTCAAGTGTTTTCAGAATTTTCAATGCTCAGAGTTTTCAACGTCTGAGTTTGAGAACAGAAGTAAGACTGTTTTACTAAAATCCTTATATACCTAGCACTGTCCTGCCACTCACATGTCCTCTCTCCAGTACCCCTCCCTGTAACCTCAAAAACACTCAGACTTCATAACAAAATGGAGAAAGCACTTGGAGACTGGACAAATCAAGGATATCATTTCACTTGAAATTTTCTTGCCTTGTGAGAATACACCTTTCTGAAGGAATCACTATGTTGAGTTGCTTTGCTATGTTACATGTCAGCCTTAAAGGGCAGATGATGTCAAAAGTAGCTGAGAATGTTTAAAATAATAACACTCAATGCAGGTATGGCCACAGTAAAACGGGCACTCTCATCAGTCAGCTACTAGTAGGAGTTATATAACAGGCACAATCTCTCTGGAAAGCAATTTGGCAAATTCTTATTAAGTAGCTTACATCGTACATACCCTTTGACATTGTAATTCCATTTTCAGAACCCTGTATTAGAGAATGAATCATAAGTGGGGACAAAACTTAATGCTCAAAGGTATCCACAGCAGTGTTATCCATGAGATAAAAAATTGGAAATAAACTTAAAAGCCAACAAAAGGAAATGATGTGATAAATTATGGTATATCCACAAATACGGTTTTATGCAGCCATTATAATGACACTTTACAAAGGATTTTTAATGAAAATAACAATTACAAAATAACAGCTAATCCTTACACGGGCCAGGCACTATCCTAAGCTTATTATTCCCACTTTACAGATCAGAAAATGGAGGCAGCAAGAGTTAAGACACTTGCCCCAAGTCATCCTGCTAGTAGGAGACAGCACTGGGGTTTGAACCCACCCAGCCTGGCTCCAAATTCCACGCTCTTCAGCCCAGTGGCAGGCTAAAAACCGGCCCCAAAGACATCATGACCCAACCCTGGGGCCTGTCCGTGTTACCTTATACAGAGAGTGGGTCTCTGCAGATGTGATTAAGATAAGCATCTCTAGAGCGCCTGAGTGGTGCAGCTGGCTACGCGTCCGACTCTTGGTTTCGGCTCAGGTCATGCTCTCAGGGAGGTGAGATCAAGGCCCGCAGGGGGCTCCATGCTCAGCGCAGAGTCCGCTTAAGACTCTCTGCTCTTGTCCCCTGCGCAGGCGTATGCTCTCTCAAATAAATAAATAACTCTTAAACAAAACTTAAAAAAAAAAAGATAAAAATTTTAAGATGAAGAGAGATCCTTGATTATCTGGGTGCACCCCAGAGGCCTCACCTGTGTCCTCGTGAGAGAGGCAGAGATTATGCGCACGCGCACGCTTGTAAGAACAGAGGCAGATATGGGAGAGATGAGGCCGCATGTAAAGGAAGGCTAGCAGCCCCTGGAAGCTAGGAGGGGATAAGGGGTGGCTTCTCCCTAGAGCCTCCAGAGAAAGCACAGCCCTGCCTATACCTTGACTGGAACTTCCGGTCTCCAGAACGGTGAGAAAATCCGTTTCTGTTGTTTTAAGCCTCCCCATGTGCGGAAATTTGTTACAGCAGCCCCGGAAACTAACATAAGCCCCTATGCTGCAGCATTGCTGTCAGTGCAAAATATTCTTGTGCGAAATAGGAAAAGTAGAAATCGAAATTTACACACAATGATCTTTTTGGGGTTTTTTCGTTTGTTTGTTTTAAGATTTTATTTAGTTATTTGACAGAGAGAGAGGCAGGGAGAGAGGGAACACAAGCAGGGGGAGTGGGAGAGGGAGAAGCAGGCTTCCGCAGAGTAGGGAGCCCGATGTGGGGCTCGATCCCAGGACCCTGGGATCATGACCTGAGCTGAAGGCAGACGCCCAACGACTGAGCCACCCAGGCGCCACCCACAATGATCTTAATTATGCGTACAACAATGCATGCAAATACAACAAAATGGTTTGTAGTGATTATCTCTGAGTACTAGAATGATGGGTAATTTTCGGCATTATGCCTTTTGATATTTTTCCAGGTTTCTACAATTAGTGTGAGTTACTTTTACAAAGGGAAGAAAATTATTTTTTAAAAAATTAGCAACTCATGATATTCCCACAACTCTAACTCAATCACAAAAATTAGAAATCAAGAGGGCCAAAACTCCCTGAGAAGATTTCTGAATTCAGTCTCAGAGCAACACCTGAAAAATCAGGCATCCAGATGCATGCCGTTCTCAAAGTGACTCCA